TTTTAATGATCTGAAACTTGTAAATGCAACAAACATTTAAAATATAGAAACCCTTTTTGCCCTTGCTATTCTTGATAAAATCTTATTTGGAAACAAAGAGAACATCCATTAGATGAGGTAGTTTTACTTATGTACTTGTAAAACATTTTATGTGTTGCGCCTGTTGAGTCTGCCCCGGGACCTCCACCCGGTGGCACATGCATGGAACACCTCACCCAGGAAGCATCCTTGTCAGATGCCCGAATCACTAGTGATGGTAAGTTCGATTCTTTTTACTGAATCGACTTTGAATGAGTCACTCATCAGACTGAGTAACATTTAAATACTTTTGTTTATTTTAGTGGATCACAGCCTCTGTAGGGGAACTGTTTCGTCAGGAGATCCTCAGAAAACTGAGTGACATCAGAAAAGTTTTTCTTTGTTTTTAATGTTTTCACTGCCTTGAATGAGCCACAGATCCACACTTATACAAGTGGCATGTGTGATCCTTTATTCAAAAGTCAGTCACAATAAGACACTGTGTCAGCCTGGGGTGTGTATTTACAGGAAATGTAAAGATGAACACAGAAACATTCATCTCTCTGACAGGCAGTAAAAATGTCTTTGTTTCACTGGCATGCAGTTCAACAGCTCATGGGTGAGTTTGTTTCTCTGAACATGAAGGCACACAGAGTAATCACTGCAGCACTCTGCTGTCCCTAAAGCTGTAAAAATGTGTAAAAAACAATATCAGTAAAGGTAAAAGCAACTGCTTCTGTGTCATTCTTACACAAAGGTACAGCAGCTGCTCCACTTCACTTTAAAATGTCTTCAGTTATATTTAGCTCTTCTTCCACCATCATAAATCAAAATTGATCTGAATAAAGAGGAAACTTCGCAGGATTCTAAATAAATGCAAAGATTTGCAAAAAGTATAAAAATGCCATTATGATAAAATGTAAACATTTATTTCATCACATGGTTTGTCAGTACAAGCCAGATTCTGGCTGGTGTGATGGAAAGAGCTCTTCTTATGA